TGTTACTGTATGGGATATGGTAGGCAATTATAACACAATGGTATTCATATGTCTAAACATAGAAAAGATATAGCATTTCGGGGCAGTGTCTGCAGCTCAGTGAGTAGGGCACTGGCCCCATATACCGAGGGTGGTGGGTTCAAACCCAGCCCTGGCTAAACTGTAACAACAACAACAAAAAAAATAGCCGGGCATTGTGGTAGGCACCTATAGTCCCAGCTAGCCGGGAGGCTGAGGCAAGAGAATCGCCTAAGCCCAAGAGCTGGAGGTTGCTGTGAGCTATGATGCCACAGCACTCTACCAAGGGTGACAAAGTGAGACTCTATCTCTCAAAAAAAGAAAAAGAAAAAGAAAAGAAAAGATACAGTATTTTTATTGTATCTTTTCTATAAAGATAAAAAACAATGGTGCACCTATACAGGCCACCTACCATGAATGGAACCTGTAGGACTGGAAGCTGCTCTAGGTGAGTCAGGGAATGAGTGGGGAGGGAATGTGAAGGCCAAGGACACTACTGTACACTAGACTTTATAAATACTGTACTTTATAAACATTGTACACTTAGATTACATTAAACTTATTTAAACAATAATTACCCTACAAAGTTATAAGAGCTATGACATTACTGGGCAATAGGAATTTTTCGGCTTTTAAAATTCTATGGAACTAACGTTGTCTTTCATTGATCAAAATATCATTATGTGGCATATGACTGTGAATTTAAAGTTAGCACTGTTAGCCAGTCCCTGCAAATGTCTTTGGAGTATAATCCTACTCCTTTTTTGGCAGGCCTGGAACCTCCTCAATCAGGCCATGCAGGGTTTAACCCTAATTAATGGACATCTGGCCAGGAGGAGTGGTGGGAGCAGATCGTGAGGAAGGCAGGATCGTCTTACAGGGCACCTGCCTCATTTGAGGCTCCTGTGTACATAAGGCGGTGTGGTGGGGATGGCGAGCACTACACTGTGGGGAGGGGTCACCCCTTTTGCAGGCCCACAGCGTTTAAGGGAATCTGGAGATTTAAAGTTCTCAGCACATCACCCAGATCCGTATCCTAGGTCTCGGAAACCCACTCCTTTCTGATCTGGTCACTGTGGTATAGGACGATTTCCAGGAGTGAGAAATTTATTTTCTCTGAAGTTCTGCTAATCTTATGATCAGATCCTGAGCCTAGTTTTTTTTAAGATTACGCCCTGTGGCTAGGGTTGACAATGTCTTTAACTGTTGCTAGCAAGGGCCCCTGGATTTCCAGCTTTGCTTTGGTTTAGTGACTGATCACCTTGAAGTGGTCGTTTTCCCTTTACAAAGCATCACTGATGCTCCATAAGAGCCACCTGAATCCAATGCTCCCCATTCTCAAACATCAGAGATTGCACGAACTAGTCACTGCCTTCCACCTGTACTTTGGCCACGTTCACCCCAGGTGAAGTCTCACTGATTGCCGTGTCACTGCAGTGCTGATACCATCAATACCCTACCTAGCTTCAATGCACCAGCTGGCTGGTATCAGGAACGTGTTATGACTTTCTGAACCTTAGGCATTTTTACCTTAGTGCAGTGAATTTCAACCGGTGTGCCACGGCACACTGGCATGCCAGGAGGGGATCTTAGGTGGTGCTAGGAAAATTTTGAAAGACCACTAATTAAATTATTTTCAAGAAATGTTCAAAGCACAATAAGTATATTATCTTTTTACTCTTTTTTTCCCCAAACAACATAATGTAAGTGTGCCCTGAAAGTTTAACTGTAGGTTCAATATGCCATGAGACAAAAAAGGTTGAGAAACATTGCCTTAGAGGGTTCCTTGTTCTTTTCTTTTCTTTTTTTTTTTTTTCCTGAGACAGAGCCTTAAGCTATCCCTCCTGGATAGAGTGCTGTGGCATCACAGCTCACAGAAACCTCCAACTCCTGGGCTCAAGTGAGTCTCCTGCCTCAGCCTCCCAAGTAACTGGGACCACAGGCCCCTGCCATAACGCCTGGCCATTTTTTGGTTGCAGCCATCATTGTCGTTTTGGCAGGCCCGGGCTGGATTTGAACCCACCACCTTAGGTGTATGTGGCTGGCACCTTAGCCACTTGAGCCACAGGTGCCGAGCCAGAGGGTTCCTTTTTCATTAAAATATATTAAAAATTAGCTGGGTGTGGTGGCTCTTACCTGTAATTCTAGCACTCTGAGAGGCCAAGGTGGGTGGATAGCTTGAGCTCAGGAGTTTGAGACCAGCCTGAGATTAAAGATCCTATCTCTACTAAAAATAGAAGAACTCACCAGTCATTGTGGCAAGTCCCTGTAGTCCCAGCTACTTGAGAAGCTAAGGCTAGAGCCCAAGAGTTTGAGGTTGCAGTGAGGTAGGCTGATGCCAGGGCATTCTACCCAGGGCAACAGAGTGAGACTGTTTAAAATTATATTTGACAACTGCACTGATATAAAGACAAATGTATTAATATATATTAAAACATTTTCTTTAAGTCTGAGTATGGTGGGTCACACCTGTAATCCTAGTACTCTGGGAAGGCAAGGCGGGTGGATTGCCTGAGCTCAGGAGTTCAAGGCCAGTCTGAGCTAGAGTAAGACCCAGTCTCTAAAAATAGCTGGGTGTTGTGGCAGGCACCTGTAGTCCCAGACACTCTAGAGGCTGAGACAAGAGGATTGCTTGTGCCCAAGAGTTTGAGGTTGCTATAAGCTATGATGCCAGGGCACTCTACCAAGCGCAACAATGTAAGACATGGACTCAAAAAAAAAAAAAAATCCAACCTTTTCTTCAACCTAAAAGTTCATTTTTTCCTGTCTGACTTTGAAAAGAAATTATAACATTTTCATATGCTCCTAGAAGTATTGTCAGTCACCATGTCTCCTGTGCCTAATGAATGAATTGGCTTTGGATGGGTGCACAGCCCAGCAAAGGGCATCTGAATGGGGCGCCGACAGTTTGCCACAATCCTGTTTCTAGCCATAAAAGAAAACTCTAATGAAGAGTCCCCCACAACACCATCAAAGAACAATTTGGGGCCAGGTTCAGCGGCTCACTGTTATCCCAGCGCTTTGGGAGGCTAAGGCAGAGGTCACTTGAGGCCCAGAGTTCATGATTATAGCTAGCTATGATCGCACCACTTTACTCCAACCTGGCTGATAGAGTGAGACACTATTTTTATTAAAAAATAAAAATAAAATGACATGAAGGCTATGTTAACCAGTTTGATGGAAGTGTTTCGGATTGTGTGTGAAAACCCCACACTGTACCCCAGAAGTGCATTAATGTATATAGTTACCATTCAATAAAAAAAAATAAATAAATAAAAATAAACAACAAACAGTTTGGAATTACATCAAATTAATATTTTTAATTTGGGAAGGATTTATATATTTAAATAGTTGGAAACCCATGACTACAGATGCTGATTTCTTTATTCAGGTTTTATGTCATTTATGTAGAGTTTTATAATATCCTTCATTTATGTCGTGCTTATGTCATCCGAGATTTATTATTAGTTATTGAATCATTTGTATCATTTTGTGAACGGAAACATTTTCTCTACGTTTCTGAATTATTGTTGGCATTAGTTTTAGCACTTTACCCTGTAGTCAGCCATCTTTTTAAACTCTTATTAATAATCACAGTCTTAAGTAGAATGTTTTTGTTTTGTTTTGAGACAGAGTCTCACTCTGTCCCTTTGGGTAGAGTGCTGTGGTGTTATAGCTCACAGCAACCTCAAACTCTTGGGCTCAAGTGATTCTCTTGCCTCAGCCTCCTAAGTAGCTGGAACTACAGGCACAGGCCACAAGGCTCAGCTAATTTTTTTCTATTTTTGGTAGAGACAGGGTCTCACTCTTGCCCAGGCTGATCTTGAACACTTGAGCTCACGTATGCCACCTGCCTCAGCTTCCCAAGGACTAGGATTACAGGCATGAGTCACCGTGCCTGGCCTTTAGTAGAATCTTTTACGTTTTCTAGACGTGTCTTCAGATAAACATATTTATATCTTTTTTTTTTTTGTCTTTTTGCATTAGCTAGAACTTACAAATAATATCAGTGGTGACATCAACTACTAACTTTACTTGGGTCTATTTCTGGAATGCTATCCCATGGATCTATTCTACAATCCTTTCCAGAACCATGCTGTTTTCATTATATTTAAATAACTGGTAGTTAAACCACCCAAACAATTGATCTGGTCTTTTGAAATTGTGCTGACTCCTCTCCTCTCATTTTGCTCTTTACCTCAGTGGATGGAAGTACCTTTAGAATTTCACTCTTTAATACAATGTTTGTTGAACAGCATATTATCATGTTTTGGAATTTTATTTCTATTTTCCTTAGAGTTCTTCTGGGAATGGCTGCTAAATTTTATCAAATGGCTTTTCTCCTTCCATTTACTAATTTTAATGAATAGGAGTAAAAAGGGGCTTCTACGGGGGAGAAGACAAGGATGGCCTCTCCAAGGTGAAGCGTGCTGAGGTCGGGTGTAAGGTTTAGTCTCTTTGCTTTGAGAACCCAGGCAGCAGCAGGAGCACCTTCCAGAGTTCGGAGGAACCATCCTGAAAGCTACCTACGTGCACTTTACCCACAGAAGGAGATGCGCAAACAGCAAAGACCCGCCAAAGATCCTTGTCCCCTTTAATCTCAGGACCTCAAAGGCATTGGTGAGCAGTTTCCATTTAATGAGCAGTCATGGAAGCCTTAAAGATCCTGTATCTTTGCCAACCCCATTTTCCAGATGTGGACAGTGAGGCTTAAAGATGCCTGGGGGGCCCCCGCTGCCGGGAGGGTCCGGGTGGGTAGGCAGCTCTGGGGCTCCGGAGCCGGGCACTCCCGGGCACGTCCACCAGGTGGGGGTGAGCTCCAGGGACCGCGCGGCCTGGGCTCGGGGCGCCGCCCCCCCGCCGGTCCCTCCCTCCAGCGCTCCCGCCCCGTCGTGGGTCCCGCCCGCCGGGGAGGGCGGGCTCTGGCGCCCACCGTGGGCTAGCCGGCGGGCCGGCAGAGCTCGGCGTCGGTGCCCTTGGCCATGGCGGTGTCTGCGCTCCTCCTGGGGCTGGCGCTGGCGCTGGCGGCGTCGCGGGCGGCGGGCGCGGGCATGGGCGCGTGCTACGACGGCGCGGGGCGCCCGCAGCGCTGCCTGCCGGAGTTCGAGAACGCAGCGTTCGGCCGGTTGGCGGAGGCCTCGCACACGTGCGGCAGCCCGCCCGAGGACTTCTGCCCGCACGTGGGCGCCGCGGGCGCAGGGGCACAGTGCCAGCGCTGCGACGCCGCCGACCCCGAGCGCCACCACAACGCTTCCTACCTCACCGACTTCCACAGCCAGGACGAGAGCACCTGGTGGCAGAGCCCGTCCATGGCCTTTGGCGTGCAGTACCCCACCTCGGTCAACATCACTCTCCGCCTGGGTAAGTGCGGGCTCGGGTCGCCGCCGCCGCCACCACCACCACCACCACCGCGTCCCCTGTCGTCACTCCTTGGGGGCCCGAGGCAGAGGTCTGAACTGTCGCTGCAAGCCCCAGCTAGGGCTGTGGGACCCTGCTACGGGGCCTCAGGAACAGGACTATACCCCTTTGTGGAAGGATACACTGAGGAGGGCCCCTTTGCAGCTAGATGGGGCAGGAGGCCTCCGGGGAGCCCCTTTGCAGAGCCGAGATCCGGGTACAGTTATGGTCCCCTTTAATGGTTTTCCATCGTCCACCCAGGCCGTGATGGGGACAATTACACATCAGGGAGTGGACTCGTCCACCCTCTAGGGCAGGGGCTTCTGGTATTGGGGAGTCTTCTGGTGGACTTTAGCGGCTCAGTGGACCCCTGAGCTGCCTGCAGTCTCTGGAGGGTGTCTTGTGCACTGGAGGGTGGGAGCTGAGACATTCAGGGAAAGAGGAGCCCTCTGGGTGGGAGGACCAAATTTGTCCTGCCATTAGGTGGCTTGCCTTGCCCACCCCATGCCAAGGTGCAGGAGCCTTAGCACCCTGGACATCAGAATCCCAGTCTGGACCCAGCCCTTCACTTCAAGGAGCCAGAGGCCCAACTCCATTCCGGCCTCCACAGCCCTTGGGGGAGGTCACTGGTCACAGTCCCTTGTCTGCCACACGTCAAGATCTCCCAAAGCTTTACAAACTCCCAGTACTTTTATAACTCATTTTTGACTGCTAAGCCTGACCAGAAACTATTTCTAGGCTTTATAAACTATTTTCACTAATTTATCCTAGTGAAAATGAATATTCATACATTTTGCTGCTGAAATCTCCTTTGAAGTATAGCCTGCAAGCCCAGACCCCACTGGGGTGTTAACACAACGTGTGGTGTACAACCTGTATCATCTTTCTAAACTCTGTGAAGTTCTGAACCCATTTGGAGCCTAGGAGTTTGGCTAAGGGTGATGGCATACCTGTGTTTCAGATGAGAAAGTGGAAGCTCAGAGAGGTTAAGTGTCTTGCCCAAAGGCACACAGCTGCTAAATGACAGTCTGGACATGAACTCCACCACCTATCAAATGTGTTGGCTCCTCCCAAGCCTGGGCAACAGCGTCCAGGGGAGGGCTAGGAAATGACACTGGAGTGAGGGGAGGGGAGGATGGTGAGGCCACTCCTGCCTGCTGCCACCCCAAGAAGTTCAGTTTCCCAGGGCCACAGTCGCCTTCTTGTGGCCTGTCTAGACCATCAGGTGGGGCTTCTGGATGGAGTGAGGTCTCCACCCAGGCCAGGAGGAGGGACAGGAAGCCAGTGGGGTGGGGGGAGTATGGGGGAGCTGTCTGGATGGGGCTGGCAGGACCCCAAGGCCACAAGGGAAGGAATCTGGGACAGGGTGGGGGCTTGTGGGGGAGACACACTGTTCCATAACAAAGAGTGTCACATGTGTTAGTGGAACCCAGGGGCCAAGGAGAGGGGCCCAGCTGGGCACAAAGAAGGAGTGGAGGATGGAGGAAAAGTCCACGAGTTTGGATTTGGGGACGGTTCCCACTTACATACTGAGTGCTTACCACAGGCCATGCCCTGTGTTTGAGCTGCACAAATAGGTGAACTATGCGTAGAACCCTCAGGAGCAGGGTATTGTGACCCTTCTCCAAGTCAACAGCCTGAGGCTCAGAGAGACCCTGTGAGTGTGGAGGGAAGATGTGATAGATACTTGTGCACACACACGCACACTCACACACACGTGCACGCACACTGGAGTGCCTCCCTTGGCTAGTGTCCTTTCTGGCATGTTGTCCAGCACCAGGTACGTGTGTGTACAGTGAACAAAGAATGAACGAATGAATGAACGATGGTGACACCTCCTCCATTCTGTACTCTGTGCCCAGCTCAGGTTCTTCTTCACCTGCTCCGGGAGGCCGAACAGGGTAGAAACCACAGAAGGGCACTTTGGACTGAGGCTCAGCAGAGTCTATCGTTGGGCGAGTGATGTCACCTCTCTCTGCCTCGGTTTCCTCATCTGTACAAGGAGACTAGCAGTCTCTACCTCCTAGGGCTGTTGTGTGTATTCCATGAGCTCAGGTCTGAGCTGTAACAGTCCTTGTGTGCGACCAGCATCGCTCTGCTGAGGACAGCTCAGGGCTGACGCTCCCCTGCAGTTGAGCTCTACTGCAGGGATTGAGAAATGCTCACCTTGGCCAGCCCGGCTCCTGGGAGACATCTAACCCAGGGCCCTGTTTACGAATGATAGGTGCTAGGGGCTCATGGCAGTCCAGACTTGGCCCCTTTTCAGTTTTGTATGACCTAGATTTGCTCCAGGATAAGTCATGGATTGCATAATATTGGGGAAGGAGCAATGTGGGATTGTCAGTGTCCTCACTGTCCCTGGCGGATGCTCTGATTGTCTGAGGTGGGCCAGGGAGCCTCTCCTCTTGTTCCTTGGGCTACCTCTGTTGGCTCTATACCCCTCCCTCCCTTGAAGGCTGATGAGAAGGGAGAGTGGGTGGCTAGCTGTGGCCCCAGGTCCCCTAGAGGGAGCGGGGTGAGGGGCGGGGGAAGATGGAGGTCCTGGGATGGAGGTCGCTGCTTTCCCAGACCCCTGTAGCTTCTGGACATCTGTTCCAGATCCTCCCTTGCTGAGCTGAGCAGAGCCTTCCTGTCTGGAATGAAAGGCTGCAGCAGAGCTTGGCAGTTCCCAGCCCGCCTCCAAGGCCTGGGGAAGCCTCTGAGCTGGCACCTGGTGGGCAGCATGGGGGCCACGGATGGTCATGGGGGCAACAGACTATTCAGGGAATCTCACCACATGCCAAGAAAGAATTCACTGAGTTGAATCCCAAGCTGGCATGGTTTGTTCTTTTATAGACAGGGAAACTGAGGCTCTGAGCATGACAGGGTCACCTAGACCTATAAGTTCTGTCCGCTGGGGCCTTCTCCTAACTGTGCTCCAGCTGGAAGTGGGTAGTGTCCAAGCAAGGCTGGTCCACATGCTCTAAGCCTGGGGAGAACCAGGCTGGGCTGTGGTTTTTGGTGGGCACTAGGGGGCTTCCCTTCCAGCTTGAACACTTTCTTGGATTGCTGAGACCTCCTGGAATCACACAAAGACCCCTGAGTCCCCAGGTGTGTTCTGGTTCCCAGGGCTGAGAGTGCCGCTGCAGGGTCGCAGGATGGGCTCCTGCCTCTCCACCTGCCCCCCTCAGATTCCGTTTCTTTATGTGCTGGTTCACCAGTGCGCTTGGTACTTAATGAGCCTGGCTCATGGGCCCTGAGCAAGACCACACACAGTCCCCGCCCTGCGGGGCTCAAGGTCGGGCCACAGAACATGGCCTATACTGAGGATAAAGGCCCACTTGTGGTGGGCTCCACAAGTCTCCCTGAAGGTAGGCAGGGCCTCACTGAGACCTGAAGGGCAGTCAGATTGCCCAGTGGCAGAGGGACTTCAGGCCAGGGGACGAAGGGACAGCATGGGGAGGCAGGTGGCAGCTCCGTATGTTGTGGGCCCTACTAGGCCTAGATGACCTCAGGTGCAGGGACTGAGGCAACCAGGGGGCCTGTCTGGCCACAGCGAGGAGCTGGGCCTGGTGGGGGCTGGACATCAGGGGAACCTGTGGCCCTTAACAGGCCTTGGAGTCAGCTGGGCTCACTGAGTCTTCCTGTCGAGTGGGCGGCCTTGTTTGACTTGGCTGGAGCCAGCACTGGGGGCCAAGTCCTCCTTCTTTCTCCCTGGAGTTCTGGTTGGAACACTGAGCCCAGGCAGGTCAGGGGGTCAAGGCAGTGGCCCTGGTTACCCTCCACCCACCCACAGAACTGATCCTCAAGGCCCCTGGGCCCAGCTGGCCTTGGCCACCTCCCTTGCCTCTCAGGGCCTCCCAGAACTAATCCAGGAGTGGTATGGGTGGGAAATGCCAAATCCCAGGAGGGTGTAGGCAGCCTCTAGTGGCCCCCCAGCATCCAGGTGCTGGCCCCCCCAGCGTCCAGGTCACCCCTGTGCACCTCCCACTCTGGCTGCTGCCAGCTGTCCTGCAGCAGGGCCATAACTGACCATGACAGGTGCTCCTTCCACCAGGTCTTTGCCTCTGCTGTCACTTCTGCTTGGCGTACTTTCCCTTCCCACCTTCTGCTAACCCATGTCTCATTCATAAACAACCAAGCGCTCAGGGCGTGTGGCCCCCGTGCCGAGCCTTGGGGATGCAGCAGGGGTCAGGTACCCATCTGGCCCACTCAGCTTAGAGGGGACCTCCAGGAACCCACCCCCAACCCTCCAGGATTGGGCAGGGGGCCTGGCCATGCATTCCTGTAGCCCCTGCCTTCCCCCCTCAGTCTGGGTCACACTGCCTTGAGGGTTTGATTGGTTCGTGGCCATCCCTAGCTCTGCCGAGAGAATGCCTGTTTCACAGCTGTGCCCCAGCGCCTGGCACAGGGTGCCAGTGAAGGTTGCTGGGTGAATGTATGGAGGGAGCACCAGGTGAATGTAGTTATGTGCGTGCTTCTACCTGGGACTGTCCTGAGTGCTGCACTGGCTTGTTTGTTTAGCTCTGTTGTGATGTTCATATACTGCAAAAGGGGAAACTGAGGCACTACACCAGGGGTCCTCAAGCTTTTTAAACAGGGGGCCAGTTCACTGTCCCTCAGACCGTTGCAGGGCCAGACTGTGGGCCCCTGTTCCTAAGCAGGACAGGCAGTGGCAGCAAAAACACCCGGCGGGCCGGATAAATGTCCTAGGTGGGCTGCATATGGCCTGCGGGCCGTAGTTTGAGGACACCTGCACTACACTGAAGTCAGTTGCCCAGTTAACCCAGAGAGAGTGGGTAATTTGTCTGAGGCCACAGAGCCAGCAAACAGTGGAGCTGGGCTGTGAACCCAGCCAGCCCTGGCCACACCGCACTTTCTCACTGGGAGCGAGCGAGGGAGGGAGCCAGTGAAGAATGCGTGTTTTAGCCCTCCTGTTCTTGCACAGGCGTCCGTACTGCTTACCATGGCAGCACCAGCCTCCC